CTAGCATCAAAGCTAGCTTATATGATTATTGTTCCTTTCAATTCAATTGCTATCAATTCAAGTACAGTTTAATTGAAATCAATTTTTTTTTCTGAAATTTGATTGATTAATATTTTTTCAAATACTTCAAAATAATAATAATTTTTCACTTTATTGTCTAATTCATTTTTAATCTGAAATAAATATGAATTTTTAAAATAAATTGTTGTCAAACAAAAGTTACTCAAGCATTAATTGTTTAATTGTCAACTTTATTCACAGTCTTGTACTACTTTCATCAATGTTATTTTTTAGAAAAAATGGGAGCATCATTAACGTCACCGTTACCACATCCACCCCCAACAAGTGTTTGCAATCATTTGTTTGTGGCATCAGATGCTCCACCAATTTACCATCATAATCCTTTGACAACAGTGCAACCAAAGAAGCAATCAGTGTTTGCAGCTGGATGGAATTGGTCTAAGAAAGCAGCCCAGCAAGTCTGTTCTTCCTTCCTTATCTTTCAACAGTACTTCTTCACATTCTTCAATAGTTTAAAAAGTAGAAAGAATAAAAAAGTCTAAAAAACAAACAACACTTCTCCGTTCTCTCCATCAACTACTAGTGTCCACGCAACCTCAGCTGATCACAGTTTAATCTTACTTAATTTATTCGATGTAATAGACGAAAATAAACGAAATTAATGTAATGTAAATACGAAAATTTGTCTTTTCACAAATTACTTGCTTTTTTGTACTTTAAATTATCACATTTGATAAATTTTATATACATGAATATTGATAGTATTATAATTTATATTTTAATAAATAATATTATTATTAATTGCAAAAGTTGATAAAATATTTTGGTGGTTTATTAATCTTCAAAAATTTTCTATTGAAATGTTGAAAGCAAATAGCAGAGAAATAGAAATGATAGATTAGTAAGATTATTCATGAAAAATTGATTGCTATTCAAAAAGTACCTGTATGAGAAGAGCAGTTTTTATTAATAATAAATAAAAAATCATTTAAACCAAATCGATCATTACTGAGATAAAAGTGCTATGCAAAGCTTAGAAAGTAATTTTTAGCTATAAAATAATGAGTGCTTGAATTAACTAAACTTTCACTGCAAAATGTCATTTATCAAAGGGTAATTTATATTAGAGATTACTTATCGTCTTTATTACACATTTTTACACGTGACGTGAGAGGATATTGACTTGCACAGCAATAAACTGAGTAATAATTTGAGGAAAAAATAGCGTAAAGTAATATTAGCAGCACTTATGGCAAATTTCTATGAAGAATAAGCATAAATAGCAAATAGCGTTCGAAATGAGAGATTAATTTGATGGAAATAGAAAAATAGAGTGCGTGAGCTTGACGATGAATAAAAACGCGAGATAAAGCATGCAAGTGCGCATCCGAAATAAACGTTGCACTTGCTAGTATTATTGAGTAACGAATATCTAAATACTGACGGAAGGGCACGGAATTTGTGTGTATTATATTCTGCTTATTCCTTCCTCTCTTCTATCTGCAGACAATAATTTATCAGAGAATTAAGGGCCTGAAAAGTTAGATCTAGATACTTAATATTGTATAACATAGAGAGCAGTCAAACAGTTACTGCGGTATATATCACAGTGAAGTTGAGTCCACCTCAATGCAATGTAAAATAGTACAAAAGGTCAATGAGAGCAAACTTCATGCAATGATTGAATACGCAATGGAAGTCGCATCTGTTGTCGCTGACGTGCAGAAGTGTAGAAGTACGTAAATGCAGCACTCGCAGTCAGTGCATGTAAGATATAATTAAATTTGAAGAGAAGTGCTTTCAGTTTGATTCAGAAATGCATTTTGATGATGAAAAAATGTTCGTACATGACATTCTCTTCACAATTTTTAATTTTCTTAAAAGCCGCAAAAAAACTCAGCCAAATGTTTGCGAGGCTTTTATATTTAAAACTCTGTCCACAAGGGAACGATAAACGATAACAGGATTTTACAAAGTTACTCACTTGAGTGCAAAACTGATGACTGTAAAATGTAAATAGAGACTGTAACGTGAAAAAAAGCTTCTGAATGGACATTCTGTTTGTAATTGCCATCAGATCATTGTGTGAAGTGACTGAAACGAAAGAATCCTCAGTTTGCACATTGCTATTTGCAAAAGTAAGCAGCTAGCATTTTTTCAGTTTTTTTGCTTTATATTTAATATAAATGTAAGTTGCTCGTTTGCATTCAGTAGCACTGCTTGACATTACTTCGCGGAAATATTATATTATGGAGTATTAATTTTTAGGGAATTTAATTAGTTCTGAAATTAATGCACCAAAGAAGAATAGTATTTGGCATAAATGACTTTCCTATTTCTTTTCTACTTCTAATCATATTGCCTTCTTACTTCTAAACTCAGTTCTGATTTGTGATTCACAGCTTGCCTTAATATTCACTACAATCTTGCATTTATTATACAGATTTCGATAGCTGTATATGTATATATATATTATAAATCACTGCTTCGCTTTTTAAATTTTCCTGTAAAACTTAAATGTTTTGTAGTAGTACCGAAGATTTGTCCCTCAAAAAGTTAATAGTAAATTTTGATAAATTTAAAACTTCATGCTGCATAATTTCTCCTTTATTATTTGCAATGAAAATAATTGAGTAATATTTTTCTATTTTGCCATTTGTGAAGTAAAATTTTCAAATCTGCTCTAAATTTTTGACAAATCTTTATTGCATTATCATACGTTGCAACTACTCTTCTACAAGTAAGATTTTTTTTAACTGTAATAAAAACGAAAAAAAAAATGGTTTGAACTGATTATGAGCAGCTTCAGTCTATATAGTTCACGCTGAAGTTTTGATTCATTTCAGCAGTCTTCGTATTACTTAGCATATTAGCAAACGAACAGGTTTAGATCAAGTATTCTACAATTTACGCTTCTGAATAAATGATGAAGAGAGCATTGCTTTTATGCTTTGTAGCTGAACATAAATGCGGATAGAAGCTGTCCAAAGATGCAAAATTAATCATCATTTTTAGGCTCATTTTTCGTTTCTAATTTTCATTTTAAGAATCTCTTTTAGACGATCAAAGATCATAACTTTAGATTAGAATATTCATTTTATGTGCTAATTTTAACCTGCCATTTTTGTTTTGCTATAAATAAAATTGCATTATTTAAGCATTTTCACAAAAAAGAATTGCATTATTAATTTAAAATACTTTCTGTTTTTCCTTCAACTATTTTTGATCATCATTCACTATTTGATCTAATAGAAGAACAACTTGTAACTGAATGCAAATAACTATCTGTCTGATTTGTCGTTGTTTGCAAATGGTCGCATATATTTCAGTGCAGTTCTCAACAAGCTGCCCACGTCGAGACTGTGATACTTTTTTATTTTCAAACTTTCTTTTGAAAGTTATTAATGTCAAAAATCAGTTCATTTTACTTATCAGTTTGGAAACTAGTTCAGTAATAAGACGAAGTAACGTGTTAAAGTAAGGCATGATAAAACTTGCAATAAAATATTGCAAGTTATTATATTATTTTATATTTTTATTATTTGCCTGTATTTCTCTCATTCACATTAAAATATGAAATTGATTTATTCATAGGTACAGTATCATCTACTGCTATTTTAGCTTCAAATGCAAGCGCAGGCTCAAAAGCAGCGAGTGACCACTGTGACATCTCGGTCCACCGATTCTATGGTATTATTAGCTAAAAATCAACGAGACAAAAATTGTCGAGAATTTTCGTATACTCAGTTAGCTTTGGATAACAATAAGAACTACAAAAAATTTGAAACAACGACAACACATGCTAGGATAAATGGTTGTCGTCGAAATTCGCTTGTGATGATAGACACGACAACTATTATTCCTAATTATTACAGCATACGAGAGGAAGTAAAACGAGAAATGAAGCTTAGTAAACAGGTCAGTTCAATACATTGATCTCAGCTACAATTTAGCACTAAATTCATTCACTAACTCAACATTGTTTCCATAAATTTAGCTGTTTTCTTTTAAATAGTAATTAATAATTCATGAAAATCTTTTGAAAGTGATTGAAATATAAAGTGACGAGCGAAAAACGTTTGGTTTGCTTGGTGCTGAGTTGGTGCTTAGTTGTTTCGACTTATTCAAGTATATTTTTCATTTTTGTTTGTTTTTCACAAAACATTTTTAAAGATGGATTCTTGAAATTACTTTGTACATTCAAGTTTATTATTCTTTTTGTGTAGGAAATGGAATCAAAATGTTGATCAGACTGAATTCTTTGCAATTATTCTGTTCAAATTTAACTGAGTAATGAAATGTACATTTTTATTCCTACATAAAGTTATGAAGTTTTATGAAGCCATGCGATCAAATCGAATTGAAACTTTAAATCTTATCTGTTTTATAGACTATCATAAAATGCATATTGAAAATTAATTGCTGGTTTTTAGAATAATTTTGGTCTCAAGTTTGTATGTGCTATTAGTAAGGAGAAAAGCTTGTAATGCCACTAATAAGAACTTCACACGTTGAAAAGAGAGTCACTTTTTTCAACATAGCTATTATTCTCAAAGTCATTAGCTTGAAAATATACTTGGTATCTTTATATCATAATCTTAGCTAGATTAAAAAATATATTACTTAATTCAATAATTTATTTGTAATGCTCTTACAAATTTTGAAGACAAGAATAAGTTTTTCCACTAATCAAAGACCAGTGGAAAGTAATATTAAGCTGGAAAGCAATATTACACAGTAATATTAAGCATATTTTATGAATGCGCGAATGAGAATGAATAAATTTTAGGACTTGATTAATAACAATTTAATCAGCTCGATTGATAATCAAGTCAAAACGACGATGACACCTACATTTCGCGCACCCAAGCAACCATTTGGTAGTAGTTGTGCGGTAAATAACGAAAGCATTTCCACTTCAAGAACTACAAATTTAGCCAATGACATACAGAATCGCAATTTAATTGGAGAAATGCAGCAAGAATTCATTGCTAAAAGTATACTTTTTACTCACTTTACTCACCGGAATGGAATGCCGTTTTGTCGAATCGTATAATCATGATTTTCTAGAATTTAGGAGTCGCTATAAATATATTCTTAAATATTATGCACTTGAAAACAATCTTATTAGACTGAATGTGATGATAAGTACTGCAAATGACTTGTATTACTATTATTCTTAATAGTGCTAATTAAGATGAATTTCATCTGCAATCTATTTATATTGGAAATTGATCAAATTTCATATCAGTCTTTAGTAGTGACCAAATACTTGTTTTAATGATCGAAAAACCACGTTATCAATAAATATTCATGATTTTAGCTGCTACATTCATAAAATTTGCATAAAGATTATATACTTCGTCTTTTTTTTCTTGAATTATAAATTCTTTTTCAGACTTGTAAAAATAGAAGTGAAAAAATTACATTTCTAGCATCTTTGCCTGATGTTAATGTAAAAAGGCGGACGGTCATTCAAGCGTCCACCTCAGAATTACTCCGTGGCCTTGGGCAATATTTATCAAAACAGTGTGACATTCCACATTTCAAACCTGCGCAGCTTGTTATGTGGCTTAGAACTGTTGATAGAGCACTTTTATTGCAGGTAATTCAAGTTACAAAGCAGAGGAATTTGCATAAATTAATTAAGTCCTGCTAAATACTTACCAAGAAAGTTGTTTTCCAATGCATCCGTTGATTTAACATTTATAATTGCAATACATTGTTTTTACATCCCAAAATATTGCAATAATAGTTTTATTTCAGCAGAAGATGACAGTTTTCTGTTTTATAAGTGGTGCAATTTGTAGGGCTGGCAAGATGTTGCGTTCATCAATCCAGCTAATTTAGTCTTTGTATATATGCTGGTAAAAAGTATGGTAAACAAAAATAATAAAAGTATTGAAACAGTGGAAGAATTACAGTCGGTAGTACTTACCTGCCTTTACATAAGTTACAGCTACATGGGTAATGAAATATCATATCCACTGAAACCATTTCTTGTTGAACAGGTAATAAACATATTTTGTTGTCATTTCAGAGCATAAATAATGAAAGTTATTATTGATTTTGTATTCAGTCTAAGTTGGATTAAAAGGAAGCATGCAAGTAAAATGTAGTCTGGTCAGATTAGTTAGCTTATATTTGTTGTGGGAGATAGATTTCACTGGTAAATACAAATTTTTCTTATTTTATTCCAAAGATATTTTAGTTTCGCTTGATTTAAAAGGCCCTTTCTAGAGTAATTAAGATCCAAATTAAATTAAGTTAATTATGACATAAGTTATTTGATTATCTTAGTGATTACTTTTTTGCATTCTTTTGAGGGAGAAGAGATTGAACATAATTTATGAATTACTCTACTACACCCATAAAAAATAAGTCATATTATTAGCAATATAAATTACACATTGAAAGAGTAAATATTTAGTAAAATATAGTGCTAATAATTCGCAGAAAAATTTTGAAAGTATCTTGCGACTATTTTTCACTTTAGCATTTGTTAATTAGTCAGTGTAATAGTTCAAAGGTTAAGCAATCAAAAATGATTCAAGTTGGCTGATTTTGACAGATTGCTGCAGGATCGAGATCGTTTCTGGGATAGATGTGTGCAGATTGTGAACGAACGAAGTAGCGACATGCTGCGTCTCAATTCGTCATCTACTTATTTTACAGAAGTATTTGCAGAACTAAAGCAATGTGCTTTGTTGGAAGAATAACACTTCGACTTATAAGGCTAAGATCAGAAAGTTGGATGTTTCATATTTTCGCTTTAGTATTCTGACCATCCTTTGCTCATTCATTACTTTTCGCTTTTTTTCTCAAAAGTATCTTTTAGAAGCAAAAGTAGCATAGAAGGTAGATTTGTATTTATATTTGTAAAAAATATCTATGAAAATTAAAAAGTTTTTGTATTTATGCAAATTTTTTTAACATTACTTAAAAGTACTTTGCTTTTTGCTTTATTCTTTCTGCAGAATTCCGAAAAGTGAATGAAATTGAAATTCATTACAGTAATGTTTACATTGGTTTGAACTGTGCAAATGCAAAAGTTGCAAAAAGTTGTACAAAAATTACTGATATTAGCGAGTAATTGTCATTTGTAAGCAAATGCCAAAGGTTAATTGGTACTGCTTTCTTGTATGTTCAGTTTGTTATGGAGCAATTCAATTTTTGTAAGTTTTAAGTGCAGAAAAAATAATTGGTTTTTAATTATTTCATTGTTTCCCATTTGTTGCATATTTATGATATTTACTGCCTTAGTTTTTGTATATCACTTTTGTCTGCTAAAATTTGACAGTGATGATTTTGAACTACCCTTTCGAAGATGGCTAAACATTTGACCCTGAACAAAGTTGCTTGAAGGGCTAAATTTACAAAAGCACTATTGAGGGAATAAATTTGTTACTGTTACTTTTATCCACGGCTTTAGTTATCGTTACTAGGAACACAAACAATGTATTATTATTAGCTCTATATTTGAAGTACGTTGCTAAATACCTGGAAATGAGAGCATATTATTGCCGATTATTAACCGATAATGAGTAAATAAATAAGTAGGTAATCATATAAGCTAGTAAGTATTTTTTTATCAGCATATTTTATGCTTTTCAAAATCATGTAGTCTTTTTTCCTCGTATATTCTGTAGTTGTTTTTGCACCACTCAGCAACTAGTGGTAACATCTGATTGATCTCATCAGTAATCTCACTGTGTTCTCATTATGGTCTCTACTTTTAAATTCATCACGTTATATTGTTATTTGCGTATAATTTCTTCACCTTCACTGGTTCAGAATACACTTTGTCTTACTTGCAAATGAATCCAAAAGTTTGCTCAAGTATTGCTAGCAAAGACCACTTTTCTGACGTTCTCTTAAACGATTCATTTTTTAAATTGGAAGAAATGCATAAAATGAGTTTATTTCCATCAGCAGATGCAGTTCTTGCTTTTTTAAACTTACTTATTTCTGCGTAATTCTGTTCTCCAAGCTCAGTTCTAAAAATTCGAGAACTTCTGCTCTTCTTGAAGAATATTCATTGTTTGATAAGATAAGTATGTATTCAGCTGCTATGCTTTTAGCTTTGTTGTGCTTTTGTTTTGTTTGCTTAATAATTAATTATTTCTAAACATATTGCCAATATGTTAGCCTAAAATGAAATAAATGCTTTACAAAATACATTTGATATTTAATTGCATAATAATTAAGACTAACGCTGAAATATTTGAATCTAAACAAACCACTGATTATTGTCTGAAAAAAACTGACAGAACTGAGCAAGGCAAACAATGATAACAAACTTACAAATCTTAAGAATGATTTTTGTTTGATTATTTTAAATACTGTTGAATTATTCAATCATTTATAGGGGTGTTGTCTTAAGTTTGATTCAGGAATTATTGATTTTATCCATTAATTTGATATATAAATTTTATATCCCTTTTAAGGCTGCATCCGAAATTAATTTTCAAAAAGCTTTGTCTTAACGATCAAACACATCAAATGAAGCTGAAACTGCAAAGGACTACTTGTTCATTAATATATATATATATATATGAAGTAATTTTGATGCCAAGACCTATTATTCAGTGCAATATTCAATTTACTCATAAAGTCTCGAGCACAATTTGTTGTTACTTTTTCAAATTTTAGCGGGTAATCTTTACTTGCGATTTCCTAAAATATACTCAAATCACAGATTACATGCATATGACTTTGCTAAAAAAAAGCCTTTTAATTCAGCTAAGTTTATTAAACGATAAATAAAAGTAGCCAACATTGAAGTGAAAAATTCTCTACGACTCGAAACTAATTTCAAAAGTATAAATTTTGATTAGCATGTAAAACTACACCAGACTTAAATTTGAATATTTCCCAAGAAATCAATTTTACTGTTTACTGCTAATTCACGTAACTACCACGTGGATATTCTCAGAATTAGTACAATTTAAAAAATTTAAGTCTTCTTATTCTAGCTAACCCAATCAAAAAAATATTTCAGACGTGTTCAGACGTAATTAAAGTTACTCTTTCAAACGTTCTATAAAATTATCTTGCATTAAGCAAATAAGTTTGCAAACACAATGACTAATCAAAAATTTACTCATTTTGTCTTCAGAAGAAACAGAAAATGTGGGAATCATATAGCAGTATAATTTTGTCTCAGATTTTCTTTACATCTTCTCTTGTTAACTTTTCTAAAGTCTTAGTCAGATATTCCATCATTACGTAAATGAATCGTACAAACACACTTACGTGTGCAAGCATAAATGTATTTGAGCGAAGGCAAGTGAAGGTGCACACATATGTCTGCAGAGAGCCATGTACGCAGCCATGAAGAGAGACTTGGAAATAACAAGTGTCAGTTGCAACGAACATTGTCTCCGCCCGAACACAGACATACAAACAAACATAGAGAGGGCCAAGGTTAATGCTGACAGATTCGATTTATATCGCTGAGTATCTGTAATGTCATCTGGGGTCACGTCATTTCACGTCACAACAAACTTATCCATTTTCAGTCTAGAATTGCAGTGATTAGTGTATTGTTTTTTCAATAGATATTTCCGTATCTAATTGTGTTAGCTATAAGGGACAGTGTACTTTGTAAGGAGGTAAACATTAAATTGCTGCAACAGAGCTACTATGAAGTAGAGAATGATTGCGTATTAATGAATCATTGCTTCTAGCATTCATCACACGTGCAGTTGATGAGAAGCAAGAAATATGTGAGATATCTCAGAAATATTAAAGCACATTTTTGGTACCAATCAATAATCCTTTTCATTATAGTGCAAAAGTATTGATAGTGTTTTACATTTCAGCTTAGTTTGCTAATATACGTACTTATGATGCTTGCTAGTTTCCATACTCTTTATATTGTATTGATTTTATTTTTTGATCGCGAAAAAATTTTTGTCACTGTTCAGAAGAAAATAAAGTGAAACTTACAGTCGTAGGAGATATTTATGTGGAACTTTTAAGCATTTGAGATTTGATGAAAAAAATGTGAGCTAAATATTATTGGGTCATTCATAAGTAGTATTAAACAATGCGAAAATCCTTTTGAAGATGAGTATCTGATGTTTTCAGGTTTGACCCGGTTACGTGGGTAATTGTCAGTCATGGAACAGCTGGAAGCAGCTGGCGGATCGGAGGCACTTTTTGATTTGATTAATATTATACGACAAGATCCAAGTATTTGGGATCGAGCATCCTCCTCTTTCATTACTCATACAGATTTAAAGATTCACAAATTTGCAGAAATTGCTGAACAACTCAATCTGGAATCCGGTTAATACCTTTTGCAGATATATAAATGTATATTAGTTTACAGTTGCTTCAAACATCAAGACTGCTTGAATTGATTATGACGAGATTCAAAAGTATGTATACATTTCACTTGGTGAAGATAGTATGCATCAAATCTGGCTAAATATAAAGTGATTCATGAACACATCAAGTATGTTTGGTGCGCCTCAGGTGAAAATTTTTAAATTTTATATTTAGTGACAGCCGAAGTTGTGGCATTGGCATGGCGTGAATTAAGCGAGAAGTATCGCCGGCGATTATATGATGGTAAACGCAGAAACGGTGCTACAAATTGGCCATATTTTGAAGCGATGAGCTTTTTACGTGATCAGTATGAGTAAGTATTGTCATTTAATGCATTCTCTTTCTTATCAAATTTGTTAACGATGCTTTAACACACACTTAAAATATCGTGGAATTCAAATTTTGAGAAAATATTTGAGAGTTTTCTTTTTTTTTTGACGTTTTCTTCCTTTTATTTTTTGAGAGATAGAAAATTTATAGTTTTTGTCAATTTAGCATCAGCTAATTCTTAATTGCCTTCTCATGAATATTAAACTATTTATTACAATATTTATTGCAGACAAACGAAATGGTATCGTCCATTAACAATACCTCGATCTGTTCATTTTTCATCATCTTCAAATTTTTCTCAGTTGGTAGATACATTCCTAACTGCCCAGGCTGTTATCGATGCAGAACAATCAGTTTCAAAAAATGTTGAACCAATGCTTTCAGTGACGTTGTCAGATTCCTTACAGGTCGCCCGTCATTTATTTTTGCATACTATTATTCTTAGTGAAAACAAAATTTTAATTGAGGTTCTTATTAATATGCTACAATGAAGATTTTTTAGATGCGGTTGCCGGAAAAAAAATAATGCATTAGATGATTTCGAAGTAATTGTGAAGAGTGTCAAATACAGTCAGTGGTATAAATAAATGTATCAACAATTTTTCATGTCTGTTTCAGGCAAAAGGAAATGCGATGTTGGCAGTTCCTGGAAGTGGCGATGAACGAAGTTTGCTATTATACTTTGGCTTATTAGTCACATCTGTTTAAATTTTGTTTTATGCCTTGTTCTTCTGTTATGTGATTAGATGCTATACACTTTATAGCAGACGTTGTTTTTATCAAAAATCAGTTGATGTTTTGTACTCTGACTTATTGTTTGAATTGCAGAAAATGAGTTCGGGACAAAATATGAATTGATAGATCCTTCTTTTCACTCTTTCTCAGCGACCGATCAAAATGAATTAAATGGAAAGTATGTCCATTTTTTTGTTAATTTTGTGTCGCGTCAGCTCATGTAATTGACTAATAAGCTCATGTAATTGATTAAAATGTAAGGTTATTAAAGTGAATAAATTGAAAGTCGCTGCAATTTTTTCTAGCTTATACAAATCATAAAAGTTTTGTCTTTTTTTTAATAAATTGTAAATTCTTTAATAATGCTTAAAAATGTTACTTACTCTTGAAATTAGTAGTTTTAATGATTAGTGTTGAATTACTCCAGTTATGAATGAATTTTTTTATAGTGTTGATGTTGATAACATTGCAATAGCTTCTGCTGCTGATAGTACGAAGTCACCAGAAACATATGATGAAAAGCAAACAGTGTCACCAGCAGCATCTGTTGATGGTTTAACTCAAAATGGTAATCATGGGGTTCTCGATGGAACAACAGCTTCTTGTAAAGGACGTTTACGAACAAATCGTTATGAAGTTTACAGAAATCCTCGTCGAATATGGAAACATCAAAAGCAGTCATTATTTCATGTATGTTATAATTATTTTGCCGATATTTTGTTTGGGTTGTCTGGAGCTTTCGCAGTTCATTCGTTTTATTATTTGAATATTCGAATAAATTTTGATATTTTAAATTGTCTCACCGAAATCTTTTTACTCTAATGATTATGTATGTTTAGCATTTACCTTTTACCCCCATTTGCATTATTTTGGTGTGGAATTCTTACATAAGTACACTGTCATTCTCCTTCTTCCTATTGTCAGCAGGCTTCTCCAGCTGTCACCAGTGGTGCATCTGGCACTTCAAGTGGCGAGGCAGTTGCAGAAATTTTGCGATCTGTGGTAACATTTTATTTCTAGATTTTGTTTATTTTGAAACTCGCGCATACCTTCAATTCAGATACATTAAATTCTTTTAAGGAGTCAGGTATCACATTATGGAGATTGTTAAAGTTTAAGGAGTGCCAAATATTATTTCGCGTGGGTGGTAATACTTGTACAGCAATATATGGAATACGCTTGGCTGTAGAATACGAACATATGATTATATCGAAACATTACAAGCTCAAAACATCTTTATAGGAACTACCTTCAGTCTTTTAATAAAATTGGAATTCCAGTCATTTTATAAGCGATGTTCCATTTCTGAATTATTTACAGTAATTTATACATTTATTTGACTTATTTTTAGCGTGCTAGTAGTTCAGATGATTCGTCGTCACCTTATTGTGTGAATCCCAGTACTCAACTGATCCAACAGCAGGGTTTTCTCGCACCTGATAACCCTTCAAAATGGGAGAATGTTGGTTAGAAATTTTGCGTGTTTTTCAGTCATATCCGTCAGTTATTAATTGGGTGTATGTGAATTTGGAAATATTAGATTTTGACTTTCTCAGGTACAATTATTTTTGAAAAGTGACGTGAATCGTCTTAATTATAATTTTAATGAGAATTAGATAGAAATCTTTTCATCTTTTTGGTAATTGATTTTTGTGCATTTAAGTTTCTAAATGCGTTTGCTTACGATTTTTGATATCTCTTTAAAACTTGCATTGTAGGGCGAGTATGGATAGATATGATGAAGTCGATCAGATCATCTCAGTTGGCACTAGCAGCGCACAAATATATAATCAACACACTTTTTTCCGTTTTGGAGGCAGATCAACAACTTTTGGGCACAGACCCAAACACAACTCGTGTTCGAATAAGAGATGTTGCTCCACAGATTGAAATTACCATGCATCAGTGATTTCTACTTTATTTAACTGATGCGATTTTTTCAAAATGTAGATACTTTGAGTTTTAAGTTCGGTTTCAGAAAACAACACTTTTGATGTCTTAATTAGCTGCTTTTCAAAAAAATGAAATACAAGTTTTTAACTTCTCAGATATAAATTACTGTATTAATATGTCAAGGGACATCGATTGCATTCATCAGAACGCTTCTATCGATTTGGTTTTTGTAAAGTTTTTCCAAAAGAATTTTAAGCAGCTTTAAAGGAGCGGAAGAAATTAGCCTTGACTCATTTGCAAATCTGAAATCTAAAAATTTTTAAGCGCTTAGTATGAAAATTAATTTTAGACATAAATTTATATCATAACACTGTTCAGACTTGTTTTATTGATTACTTTTGCTTGTAGAAATTGCAATTTATACAGAATTTTTCGTGCTTGACTGTATCCAAATTTGTATCATAAACAAGACTTCTTGTTCAAAAATTGTGTTTTGTATTATTGCTTCTAATTTCTGGAAAAAAAGCTGTTATATTTTGAGAAATATTCACAGTGTGAAATGAATTTTGGCACACTTGCCAGTTTGTGTACAAATATGGGTTTTGTATTGCTTTGTTCATTTTTGTACCTTACGTTACTCTCATATAGCGTCCAATTTTTTTGCTTAATAAAAGATTTTTTACATGATCTGAAGCAAAGATTACAACAACAATAACAACACTTTAAAATTTCTAAATAAAGACTGGGTAAATTGCAATTTAAAGATATGCTTCATAGTTGTACTGTACTTAAGAAAGCATCTAACATACTGAAATGATAACTACCAATTAAGAACGAACTACGAGTAATGAGATGTGCACTGAGATAGCTGCAATTTAACCATCGAGTAATATTTCTAAAGTCTTATCAAATAACTGGAAGGAGAGAGTACTTGTTTCATGAGGTTTCTTCAACATAAATTTTCTTAACATATCATTAACACCACCTCTATTGCACTGATCTTCATGGCATGCACAAATACGCCAATGACTGTTGGGTGACGTACTTGCTAGGCACATTTCAAACTGCAACAAAATAATAATCACAATTTCATTTTTATAAGAACTTTTTTTCGCTTACTGAAATTAGGTAATTTGTATACAAGTCTGATAATAAGACCTGCAATCTTACTTATAAGAACCTAAAGAATAACGAACTTATACAGTAACTTTTATTACAAATTAAGAATGATTAACACAACGTGCATTGAAAAACCATATTAATTCATTAAAAAATGAAGCAGGAAATGAATTAAATAGAATTAAAACTACTCTTAATAATGTAATTAATAATGGAATACTGAAATCTTCTAGCAAATATCTTAGATTGTTATCAGAACACTTAATTGGTCTAATTATCAACGAGATAAGTTATTTAATCAATTGTTAGTACAAAAATAAAAATATTTTGTAGGATTTGAAATACAACATAAATGTGATTTTATAAATAAGCATTAATGAACAATACACAAACATACTTCGCAGTACTCTTGGATTCTTTCTTCACTGAACGCTCCTATAAAGGGTACATAATCAAGAGGATGAGCTTCAATACCTGAGTTCTGGCGTATGAATGACAAGAAGTCATCTTGACAACCGCCTGCTTCATATGAAAAATGCCCGGATAAGTCTGAAATAAGTATTAAAATCACTTAATAAGGTAATGAGCATTAATTAGATCATTAATGGTAGACATTGACTTGAATCACAATTTGCTCACACTTTTTATAATTTGTATTAATCCAACTGTGGTCAGTTAATGATAGTACTCTATTTTTTAATTGTTAACATATATGTTTTAATATTAATATTAGCATTTTTTCCCATTTTTAATATTGTTATATTAGCGTATTACTATTATTATTATTATTTTTATTTTTTTATTTCTTAATTTTTAAGCAGTATCAGAATCACTGTTGCATTTGTGAATGTACTGAAATTAATTCTTAAGGGAATATAAAAAGTTAATGAATTCTTTATGATATGAAAATGTTCATTATTAATTTTGCAGTAACTTTTAAATTACTGCGAATCACGAAGTAATCATAGTAATACTTGGGTTATTTTAGCAGTAACAAAGAATAATTTTTGCTACCCAATGTGATAGCTGAAAAGCAACAAGTATTTCCGATAACACATTCACTATGATACCAGTCCCTCACTGTACCATTCACCTTGCGATACACAAAGCAGTCATTTGAGGGTTCCTTCAAGAATCTATTCGCATTCATCGCTGACCCGACGTGCATTGCAACCAATGCTAATACTGAAATGCTAGTAATTTGGCGGCCAAATCTTCTTAACATTTACACATCAATTTTGAGACTAATAACTAAACTTCTACTTCAAATAATAAAAAAATGAGTTTATGTTTGAAGTGATATACAACACTCATCCCAATAATATCTCAAAAATTTACGCTATTTAAATTATCATTATTATTATCGTATTAGTATTATTATTATTATTATTATTATTATTATTATTATTATTATTATTATTATTATGTATTATTATTATTATTATTATTATTATTATTATTATTATTATTATTATTATTTATATTATTATTATTATTATTATTATTATTATTATTATTATTATTATTCTGATCAAATGTTTAATTTGATACTGCAATAATTTTAAGAAAACGCAGACCAATCAATGATCCAAACTTCATTTTGTTTGTAATGTTATGTTTGCTTTTGATGTCGGATAAATCGTCCGGTAAATCTAAACTAGCGATTAAAATGAATGATTCATTACAATTCAAATAAAGTTAGAAATTGACAAGTACAGAAAATGGAAGGTTTGCAAACGTAAGCAATCTTTCATTGAGTCATCAGAAATTCAGATGGAGAAAATCATATCTTTCCACTACTAAAAATTTGCAAATTATTAATACAGTGAATAAATGCAAAACAAAGCAAAACTTTTCAAAGGTATAAAATAGTTATTATTATTATTATTATTAGTATTAGTATTAGTATTGTTATTATTATTATTATTAGTAGTAGTAGTAGCACTAGCAGTAAAAAATTCGCATTATAAATCTTTTAGTTCTAATAAGCACTTCAATTTATTTTCAAATAATCTGTCCTTGCAGATGAAAGTACGAAAATATGACTGAACTCATTAAATTTGAGCTGTGTTACACAATTTCACACTAATTAGTCTTTTTCACATTGAATATAAAACACTGAGAAGCTATTTGAGCAAATTATTAAAGAACTGTCAAGCAGAAATAAAAACCGACCGCTTCGCTTTCAATGCAAATCCCTTGCGTACAAGGAAAGTAAGAGCCTGTTACACACAACTAACCTAGCAGTAGAGAAACCTTAGTTATATGAGGCGGAGTTACGTCAGACATCATTCCATTTGATGACCTCTGACCTGACCGTATCTGCTGGATGTCTATTAAAAGTTGACCTTAACTTTAACCATAGATAGATCATTTCACTGCCGTGATTTATGGAATAAAGACATTTATCTTACATTTGATTTACTAAAGGGCTTATTCATAATTATATCCCTTTTTTTCTAATTTTATATTCCCTATTCTTACAAATGGCATATTTAAATTTTGGTGAAATTTTTACTTTTTTTTTCCATCCGCTTTAGTTTTTATTAATTATTAAGTTACAGATAATTGGTTATGAGTTTGTAATTTAACAGTTGTGCGCAAATTATTTGAGTGAAAGTCGAATTTATAGTCAATAAAAAACTTTAAAATAAGTGAGGAAATATGGCATTACAAAACTCATAAAAATTCGCATTATAAATCTTTAAGTTCCAATAAGCACTTCAATTTATTTTCAAATAATCTGTCCTTGCAGATGAAAAGTACGAAAATATGACTGAACTCATTAAATTTGAGTTCAGTCATATTTTCATGCTTCTCAATTTCTGCACAATTATTTGGAATAGGTATATAAATATATTCTTCTGAATAGGTATATTTATCGTTACTCTCTTTAAAACAGTTTATTGTAATTACTGAAACGACTAAATATATGCAAAAAAAAATACAAGTTACTGTATTTTCACAATTACTCATATCTTCATCAAATCATTTAAAACGATTGCATTTGCTTAAACTTTACAGAAATACTAATATTAAAGCAAATCATTTTTGACTTACAAATTAATGACTGCCATAATTTCCGTTACAATTTCAATTTCAAAGTGATTACAGGAAACCGAAGCTTTTATAAAGAATCAAATCAAGTGTTTCACAGTAATTCTGTCTAGTCTTTTATCCGTCCAAAAGAATTTGCATGGTTTGCTCCAGAATTTTGCCATAATCGGGAGGTCTCTTTACAAGTCCTTTCCGAACTCGTTCTCGGTAATTTCTGATAACATCATTGATACCTTTCTCATTGCAATTATTTTCATTGCAAGCGCATAAGCGTGCTACTCCATCTGACGTGGTTTGTTCTATACACGTACCAGCCTGAAAAATTAAAAATGTTTTCATCTAATTGCTGCAATAAATTATAATTAGTCACATACTTTTAGTTGCAACTGACTTCTCAATTCTGTTTAAAAAGTAAAGTATTAAACAGTATTTTGACTTGAGTCAAGTTAAAAAAGTTCACTTCGCAAATGTAACTCGTAGTGACAGGAAGCAAACTGCCAAAGATCGGATGCGTTCCTATCATAAAACGATACTCGTCTTCACAACCGCCTGATTCAACTTCCCTTTTGGTTTTTGTATCTTAAAGGCTTATTGTACACATTTCTGTTTAAATGATACAAAAAATGTTGTCATTTTACAGGGATAAAATAGCTGGGATTTGTGATCAATCTAAATTGATTGCTTAAAATGCTGAAAATAAATTGATCATAAGACTAATACAAATAATAATTAGCAGAAATTGTAGAAAATTTCAAGCATTTGTGAACAATTTATCAAATTAGTATCAGTAACACTAAATCATTATCTGAACCAAAGCATGATATTTGACTGCTTATTAAACGTTGTCAAAGTATTATTACATTTTCTGTGCTGAATTTTTTTAAAAAAAAATATATAAATTGAGATAGTGTGTTAAAAAGAATTAAAATTGTAATTTTTTCGAGTGAAGTACTGTTTAAATCTATTGAGATAAATCAAGATTTTCACAATAAAAGTATTTAATTTACGTTCCTAGCAAAATTACATCCATTTTCTCATACTTACTAATATATTCGGTTGAATAGCAACAAGTATTGCCAAACATGCAGTCATCCATATGACGTTTAGTTTCACGTCCATTTATTTTTTGATAAGTAGAACAGATCAGTGACGTAGTTATGAAAGGTTCCGGAAGATCTGTTAACACGCTAACATATTCTAAGAAGAATATCAGCCAGAATGCTAAAATTAATATTTTTAAAGGATTAGTATTTAATTTAAAAGATGGCATTTTATGTTTTAGCAATAAAAGCCAGCCTGCCAAAGCTCAAATTCACACTTAAATTCAAATCTAGGACTGGAATTCAATTTGAACTACAAGCTTTCTTTCTTCAAAATAATCACAAACTTACTTTTTGTTAATGAAACCATTGCTCGGTAAATCATCAAAGATAAATAAATGATGAATACATAGTTTGAGCATAAGATTTTTGAGATTCATTGTGATATTTTGATCTCCAATAAATTTCTTGTACAAAAGTAAATTAATTACAAGTAATTTATTTGATACTTTGAATTCATTTCAGATTTCAAGTTTTCATCCCAAATGCTATTCATAAATTTAAAAGTTATTTTAATTAATTTTGGTATTTAGTTATGAATACGGATAAGCTGTTCAGATTTTTTATTTGTATTACGTTTCTATCTTCTTTTTTTGCTTGATCTTGTTTAAAATGCATTTTTTGAATTTGTGATACTCGAAAAGTTTGCCTGAATTCTGTACTTTCTCTTCGCTTTCACTGAGATAGTAATTTGAAATATTGAGTCCTATACTTATTTTTTCATTCTTGCTATTTTGTAGTCTTTTTATTAAATTCATTCAAAGTAGTTCAACAAGTGGAAGATGCTTTCTGTTATTTTGTTGCCTAACTAATCCATTCTTCTTCATCATTTCTTTATAGGGTAAGAATTCACTTACTCGCTAATTTAGTACATATATTTCGCTACTAAACTATTAATTTATGCTTAAATTGCTAATATTTGGCTTTAGTTAGTTATTTTCAATCAATATAATAAAGAGTAATGATTTTATTAGAAATAGTAGAAGTATTTTTGGGTAAAGTACGAATTCTTGCAATTTTCTGCATCACATGATGCGGAGAAAGAGTTGTTTGTGCTTAGAAAACAAAGCAAGGAGTATCTGTCGTAGATGTCTGCAGCAGACTAAACGATTCAAGTAGCACTAACCTCTGCAGAATGTTAGCGCAGTACTTTTCACTTCCAAAAATTTGCTCAATAATTTCCACTTTGCGTCACAATCGTTCTAGAACTTTTATTTCCACACTTGCTGCTTCGATCTGGAAGAAAATTTCTTTGAAATATTTGGAAATTTTGCCAGTCGCTATGTCAGTGCAAAATTTTGGCTCAGATATTGAAGGTAATTAGTAATATTTTTCTTTATCTTATAAATTTTTACATTTTTAATCCGAAATATTGATTTTGTAAATTTGCGAAGAAGTTTAGTTTCTCAGTTTTTCAGTATTATTTGACAACGAATAACTTAACTAATCTCTTGTATACTTACGTAATTTTCAGTTGTTTTTATTATATGGCAATAGTCATTTGTTATTGCTTGGATATTTCATTAAGTATATTTCTGTTTTATAGATTTTTGATTAATTTTCATCAAAAGTATCATTTACTGTACATTTTTAGATTGGAGAAAGCCATATTTCAACAAAGATGAGCCATATCTTTTAGAAGAAACTTTAATATCGAAAAATCCGTTCGAGCTGTTTGATGCGTGGTTTAAAAACGCTGCAGCAGGAGAGAATTTAACGTTTGAAGAAGTTAATGCTGTCAGCATCTCAACGGTGAAGTCTTTTTGGACTGTAGAAATTCCTATTCTTTATTTCTTATTTGCTTCGTTTTTTAAGATGAAAAAGCGTTTTTTACTTTCTAATTCCTCACTTTGTTTTGTTAATCAAATTAACAAAATGCTATCTTTTTTAATTGTTGAACTTTAAAATTTGTAGGTGTCAAATAATCGGCCTAGATCTCGGATGGTCCTAATGAAAAAATATGATGAGATGGGATTCTGCTTTTATACACATTATAACAGTGCAAAAGGAATGGAAATCGATGCTAACCCCTGTGCTTGTATGCTCTTTTACTGGCCTCATGTCAATAGACAAGTAAGTATATTGTTGGTATTATTCATACTACCAGTTGCTTTTGAATATAAAAAGACAATCTTAGAAGAATATCAGACATGAGTGGCAAATACCGATGGATTGCAATTGTCTTTTTCGCTTATGCTTCACTTATTCATATTCAATGCACTTGCTTAAAACTCAGATCTTCGTAATCTTTAAATCTATTTGCTGGTTGGTTTTTATTGCTAGGCAGGTTCTTTTTTGTTATTTGCAATGTATTGAGAAAAAATTTTGCACTAGTGATCAGTATGTAAAACAACAAATTTAAGATTCGTATTGAAGGAAAAATACAAAAACTACCAATTGAGGCAGCGGATGTATACTGGTATCGACGGCCATTGAAAAGTCGTATCGGCTCAAAACTAAGTGAACAAAGCAAAGTTATTCCAGGAAGACAGGTTTTTTCTGTTTATTTCAGTTTCTGTTGGTATAACATGTTTTTTAAGGTATTGAATAAAAATATAATTTTCCGTTGTTTTCAAGTTCCTAGTGTTTCAAATATGACATTTTCTGTCCAAACTATAATTTAAGATGGCATGAAGAATAAGAATAGTATATCATTTGGGTAACTTGAAATCCCATCTTTTAGTATCTGGAGGAAAGAAAGAAGGAACTTGAGAGGTTAGCTACTGAAAAAGGAGAAGCATCGATTACTAGACCGGAAGATTGGTTGGAATCTATTATTTTTTAGATATTTTTGGTTTCCATTTGTATTTTTTTATCGAGTTCCATCCATCAGATGTCTTAAACAGGTTTTGACACGATCAAAAATAGGTTCAAAATTCACCCGACAAAATATGTAAAAAAATGACTACTGATGTCAAATTTTGTTGGGAAATGATCTTACGAATTTTAATTGAAATAGCTATGATCCATTCCAGTTATATTTTAATGAAATGATTCATGCTTAAAGTAGTCACGACGACATGTGGATTTTTAGGGGTGGCTATCGATTATGTCCAAATTACTTCGAATTTTGGCAAGGTCAGTCAGACCGAATACATGATCGGATTGTTTTTGATAAGAATAATAGCGAAGATAGTTGGTTGATAAAGCGTCTTTCTCCATGAATCATTGATCTATATAATTTTTTGTGTTTTCGATTCTAATTTTTCCTATTTTCTAGATTAATTTTATTATTTGAATGTGTTTTATATGAGCAATACTCCATGTTGCATATGGAAATTTTGTATTTTCAAACGTCCCAAAAGTTAAAAAACAATTTCTTTTTGCAATTAATGGAAAAATGCAAAAAAATGAAATATCTTTATATAAAGTACAGAACGTTCCTATGAGGCATCCAAATAAGGAAGAGTTTTTTAAAAAACACGTACGTGCACAAAATTGATTTCAACGGTTATCAAGAAAAAAGTCATTGGAATTCATAAGCGCTAAAGTAATTGAAAACTGCAGTTGTTAATACTACTGTAAGTATGTCCATATTATATCAAACTTTACACAGATAACAGTGCCAATATAATAAATTTACTGCTTGTAAAATATGTGTTTATAAAGTTACTAATTTTGTCATTTTACAAGCTTATCAACAATATTACAATTAGCTAAATGTTCTTTGTGCTGACAGACTTAGTCGTTGATTTTACTTTTTTTCTTTGCTTTGAGAAAATAGTAATGAAAATAAAGTTCACCCACTTGTTCCACCAGACAGAAATCAAATATTAACCTAACAACATAAAGTCTTACGCACAAAAGCCACATTTGTACTTACTGTCAGACTATGAAAAATCTGCTGTAACAATGACCTATAGGCTAGAGCTGAGATTGAGAGGTGGGAGTAAAATGCATGAAGCCTAGACTTTCAACTACCACCATTACGCTCACCCGAAATACGTCCAGCATCGTTACTTCTCACTTTACATGATAAATTAATTTTTCCATAGAAATTAACGACATCTAATGACACATACCCTAACTCTTCTGATAAAAGTGTTAAGGATTATTCGTGCTCAGTCCTATCATTTTAATCACCATTTGCGCAGTCTGCAAAGGATTGGCTCATATTTGAATCTATCAGTGCACGAAGGAATTGAACTACACACGTTATTGTTGTAGCACGTACGACAGAGCCACTAGGCTACTACTATCACCCACCACTTCCCACAAAAATATATTTTTTACGAAAACAAAGTAATAATTTCAGCACATCTCTTGCAATCTTGACGTAAATAAACGTCATGTGTGTCATGCACGCCATGTAACTTAAAAACAATTCTTATTAAGCTGCAATAAATGTCTCACATTCTCAAAACGGAAACCTTATTTGAATTCGTGTAGCTATACTTTTGTGATTCAAACCTGTCCGAAATGTCAATTACCTGTTCATGTCTTCCTACTCAACTTTATGTTTACGTGTCTTCCTTTCGGTCATTCGTGGAATCCAAATTATTTGAACCGTAAAATGCAGCCTCATATTCAGTTCCCTGAAAGAGAATCCGAATCAAATGTGCAGAGTAGTATTTTAAGGCCGAGAAATGCAATAAATTATACTTTAAAAGCAACAAACTTCAGTTCCACTCGCTAGAATCCCAGTAATCACTAGCTAAAATCCTAGACAGCATCAAGAGTCCCGATTGAAAGAGTTAAACTTTAGTATTTTAGCTTAAACAAATGAACATACACAGAATAGGCCTCCATTTCAAG